GTTTTTATCCTACCTCGCACTACTATGGCTCGGGTCGAGTATGAAGTAAGCCTTCACTTCTTCTTTGGTCGAAGTTCGCTCCCCTGAAGCCAGAGCATTGCCCTGTGCTGACGCCCATGCATAGATGGTAGGCCCCTGACTAACTGGGGCCTCCACTGAGGCAGAGTGACGTATGTTGTACTCCCCTTGTTCTAAGGGTATTAGCTCTCTATGCTGAGTACACTGCCATGGGCAATGTGATTTCCCACATGCTGTGATTATCAGGTAGCAGGCCTCACCAGGCCTCCCTGAGGGTGAGTTCCCCACGTACTATCGCTATCAGGTAGTAGGCCTCTCTAGGCCTCCCTGTAGGTGACCACATACTGTTGCTATCAGGTAGTAGGCCTCACCAGGCCTCCCTGAAGGTGAGTTCCCACAGACTGTAGCAATCAGGTAGTAGGCCTCACCAGGCCTCCCTGAAGGTGAGCTCCCCACATACTGTGGTTGTAAGGTAGCAGGCCTCACCGGGCCTCCCTGAAGGTGAGCTCCCCACATACTGTGGTTATCAGGTAGTAGGCCTCTCTAGGCCTCCCTGTGGGTGACCACATACTGTTGCTATCAGGTAGTAGGCCTTACCAGGCCTCCCTGAAGGTGAGTTCCCACAGACTGTAGTAATTAGGTAGTAGGCCTCACCAGGCCTCCCTGAAGGTGGAGCACCCCACATACTGGGGTTATCAGGTAGTAGGCCTCTCCGGGCCTCCCTGTAATGTTTCTCTAATGGTGCTGGGTTTATGAAGCTAGTGGCCTCTTGCTATCAGTTTCAGCTAGCCTTAATAGGCAGCTGCTGAGGGCGAGCTTGCGCCCTGGCTCGCTAAAGTGTTTATTCTCTGCTATTTGTTCCCTCCTGGAACCTTTCCTGCCTACAGCCTGGTTTGCCTACCAGGCAGACCTTGTGCTCCCCTCACTGAGGGTCTCTATGAGCATGCGGCTTCCTGAGTCTGGTCAGACGGTCGTAGGCCTCTCGTGAGGCCTCCCGGTTAGATCAGCCATTAGGCCTTCACAGGCCTCCTCAGTGTTTGCAAACACTGGGTTGATCCATGGATCGAGTAGAGAAACTCCCCTCGCTAGCAAGGGTCATAAAGCACTATGCTGAGTCATACTCTCCGGGATATCCCGTCTCTGAGATCCGGGCCGAGTGGTTCACTGCCAGCGTCGCAGTCCCTTGGGTTGGATGCCTTACTTAAGGCTTTTTTCCAGAGGCTCTGTCTTCGGACAGACAGGAAGTGGCCAGACTAAGTGTCTATGTATCTGACGCCAGGTCAGGCCGTCCTGGTGGCATATCGGGGTGAGTACGTTCCCCTGAATAGTGACTGGCTGGGGTTCCTTCGGATTCCCTAGCCACATTCCCTAGAAGGGGCCCCTTCTAATTGAAGTTGTGGTCCTAAGCCTTTGAGCAGGCCCAGGTAGGCTTTCATTTAACTATGTTTATGGAGGTTTTCCTGTTAGGCTTATAGCTTGGGCTTTGACCGTAGGGAATGCTGTCACTGACAGCCCAGTGTGACCTGAGGGTGAGTGGTTCTAGCATTTCATTTGAATTTGCTGGTTCGGACAGTTGTCACTGCCTGAGGGCATGCACTCCCCTCAGCATGGCGGCGTGGGTATATCGTTCCCCATAACGTCGATGACGTATTGTTGAGTTCCCTTCGAAAGGGAACGTCTCAGGTTACAAATGTAACCTTTGTTCCCTGAGAACAGGGAACGAGACAATACGTCTCCCTGCCATGCCTCGGGGCTTGCCTGCCGTACAGTCCCTTCAGACGATAAGGTGATTTGTCATGTTTGCAAGGCGCCCTTATATACTTCCAGGTCGCACGTTAATCATTCACGCTAATGATTCACGGGCTGTCGCCGGTCAATGTGATTGACGTGATTTGATAGTGATTTCAGACACCTGTCACGCCTGAGGCGTTCCCCATAACGTCGATGACGTATTGTCTCGTTCCCTGTTCTCAGGGAACAAAGGTTACATTTGTAACCTGAGACGTTTTTTATAGATCACAACCTTTGCGTGGAAACTGGCGTACGTACGTTTCAGGCCCCGTTTTGTGCGTACGCACGCTTTATAAATGAGACCCCAGAAGCTTTAGAGAATCTCTCAGCAGTGCAGATTGCATAATAATAATATATTATTCTCATGTTATTCCCAAATCTTCTCATGAATTTACCTATATCAAATTTGAGTAACTCCCAATTATTACTAAAAGAGCGTTCCCTTACAGCTTTTTTCCAATAATGACTAATGAAATAGTTCAATTTTAGTCTAACGGTATTATGGGTGTTTCTCAAAACCAAGAATGCAAAGAACGGACTTGTGTTCTTCGGGAGAACGCTCTTGCTAGTTGTTCTTGGAAGAATGAACTCACAAGGTGACGAGCACACAGAATGCTGCTGACAGTTTGAGACGATGTGTTCTTGCTGGTATTGCGCAATAATTCCCCCGCACAGACACCGTCTGCAGTACCCAAACATAACGAGAATTATTGACGATAACAGCCAGGCTGCAATGGTCTCTTGGCTGTGGGGAAAAACGAGTCTGTGAGCAAACTGGCCGGTTGGCTCGATAGCTAACGTTACACCCGCAGGCGCTTACGGAGATTCTCACTTCCGAAAACGTTTGAGCACATTTTCGATTAGCCATACATTTTCGTAAAAATGCCAATATTTGAAATCTACACAGTTGATTTCTCGCATCAAATGTTCTCAGAAGTGAATTTAGTGATGAAATAGTGTACATAATTGTAGAAAAACGAAATACTGTATTGACCTGCCTCTCCTTCCTCGAATGCCGAATTGAATGCTGGGATATTTCTGCCGTCAAGTCAACACAAGTTACCAACCGATGCATCCTTGGTAAAATGGGCGTGTCAAGAACACATCCGGGATTTTTAACTGTTCTTGCCAAAATGCAAACTTGTGTATTGGGACAGTACTTGGGCCACAAAAGATGACGTTTCACAAGAACACAAGGACACAAGTACAGACAAGAACACAGATTGAGAAAGGCCCTATGAGTGTCATGATCCCGGTATCCTCCTCTTAGGGGGCTTTTACACTGGGCTCGTTTGCTGCGGTCCGAGCCCGAACGCGTTTGTTCCCGGCGCCCCCGCAGCGTTGGTCTGGTTTCACACACAACTTGATTCTATCAAACCCTGGTGCGTTTGCGTGCATATGACGTCATCGCAAACGTGCACGGCGCATGATAGAAAACAGAACGTGGGTCAATATTGTGTTTTTATTAATTCGCTGCTATTATGCGCAGTCGAGTGAACACTACAGGTTCACTGTGCGTGTGTCACATAAGGTGGACTTCTGCTGCTTGCAAACGGACTCTTTTTAGGAGACCAACTTTGTTGCCCTGATTCCACGCGCAATGCACGAATACACTGCACGCAGGCTCACTCTCGCTCGTATCCAAGGTAAATAAACACTATCATCCCTTACAAGCGTTTTATTGAACTAAATACACCACAATAAGCTAAAAACGCATGCGCAGGTTACTTTACTTCCTGAACAAGTGCGCACCCGAGTCCGTGTTGCTTTCACATTCACGCGAACCGCGGCACGGTTCGGGAGCAACCGAACTCAGACCACCTCCTCCAGGTAGTCTCGGGTTCGGTACCCCAGTGCGCACCCGGGTCCCATGACAGCGTTCACATTAGCGATTTTTCATGCGAACCGTGCCCCGTTCCGAACTAAACTGCCAGTGTGAAAGCCCCCTTACACTCTACCACCCTCTTCTGGTCACACTCTTTATTACACCCATTTACACACACACATTCCCATTCATTATCTCATCCGCTCTCAGCTGTCTCTCATCACCGCATCACTCTACCTCTTCTCCTCCCCAGCTGTTTCCCACTTTCTCTGATTTGACTCTCTATTTCTAGTCTTCTCTATCCTTTGTTCATTGTCAGATTATTGCCATATGTTACGTACCAGTGTGCCTGCTGAACCAAGCCCTGTCTCTGTCGTGTCGTGTCCTGTCTGGTGCGTGCCTCCATCTGTCTACCTTATTACCTCGTCTCTGCTTTGTTACATCTTCAGCTAACGTGAGTGGTCAAGGATTGGCGTCCCCGTGCTTTCTACGGTCCCAGCCTGTCTCATCCTCCGGGGATTCCCGTTGCCGGCCCTGTTCGCATACTTCTGTTTATTTACTGATAGACTTTCTGTTTTCCTTTGGATGAGACTATCTTCAGTTGGATTTATTCGCCTTGTGGCCACCTGTGTTACTTTACCAGAACTATTAAACATTGTCAAACTGCCTTTTGCTTTTGGGTCCTCTCTCCTACACGTGACAATGAGATAATAGAGAACTATTTAATTTCCAATATGATAATTTAATCGATTTTAAAGCACTAACAGAGTGTTTAATTTTTATAAAAATAGCCTTATGGTCAGTTAGGGGTGGTGGAAGAATATCAACAAAAGTACTATGAATGTCAATAGATTTAGAGATCAGCCAAAAGTCTATACGAGAGAGGTGAGAAGCAGCCTTGTTGCTCCAGGTAAAAGCTTTAGTTTAAGGGAATTTGGTCCTCCAGACATCATCAATCACATCAAGTCTCTCCATGAATTGAATAAACTTTGAATTAAGTGATGAGGGTTGACCAGGTGGCCATTTATCAAGAACACTGTCAATTGCAATATTGAAATCCCCACCTATAGGCCAAGCAAATACTTTGGATTTTTTTTCAGCCAGTATAGTAGTCTACTTTCAATAAACTCAAGAAAACTTGCTTTCTCAGACCTTGAATTAAAACCATAAATATTGGCCCAAATAATAAAAGTTGAATAAATAAATAAAAGTCTGTTGGCGCGTTTTCGATCATTTACAGTTGCTGCTGATGACGTCACCGCTCGCTCGCGCCGTCTCTTCCGTCATTGAGTTTCAGTGCGCATGCGCTGCTGTGCTGAGGCGGGATAGATTTCAGTGAACGAGAACGATTAACTAAACTAGTTTCAGCGTCGAGTCTTCTGAGGCGAGGAGAGCAGTTCACGGTATTTCTCATATTCACACACACTTTATACAGTTTGATTAAGCGACAGGCTCATTTCTGTATTGTTTTCATCGATCACAGCGATACTTGTGTGTCTTTTGTGGCGTCTTCCTCCTGAAATACACATTTAGTGCAGCAGCAGCGAGCCTGAGGAGAATATGTGGAGTTCATTCAGACCTGAGCGAGTGTGTGTGCTTTTGTGTTCGTTTGTGTGATTGTTTCGAAGTTTGGAGTGAGAACTTTTTCACTGAATGTCAAGTCAAAAGTCAAAGTTTGACATCTGTGAGTGGAATTTATAGGAATCTGTTGAATGACGGACACATAACTCGGTTTTGTATAAGTTAACGTTGATTCTTTACTGGAGAACTGGATTAATCACATGTAGATTTTGGACCAACTAACGTTACCACTGTACAGGTTTCGTGTCCTCACTACGGATTCCCCAACAGTAGTGCTAATGTTCTACAGAATCGATCTCAAGTGTCATTATTAAAATATAGTCTACTGCTAAATACTTTACATTGAGCCATATTAAATCAATAAATACATTGATTGATCGAACATGACTGTTAATTCACTTTGATATAGAACATTATAATGTTATATGCAATCTTTCTAAGTGAAGAGAAGGATGTGTAAAGGGAAGGAAGTGGGGGACTTTACTCTGTGGGCTGTGGAGACAAACGGCAGTGTGTGTGTTTGTGGTGTCCAGAAGTATCTGAGGTTCTGTTTGTCTTACAAAGCAGAACATTTGCTTGTCCAGAAAAAAAATGAGATATGCTTTGACATATTTAAATCTGCATATTTATGATATTTGAACCTTTATAAAGGGCTTTCGGGGGGAAAGTAATCGTTTGAAATACATGCTTCATCTTTTATTTTAAAGGGATCCCTGGTTATTAAGACGTGGCTTAAAATAATGAAAATGATGCCTCTTACTGAAATATGTTGTAGAAAAGCCATCAAAGATGTATATTTTTAAAAATCACATCGTTTTATACATATTTTGAACTATTTGATGCGCCATTATTCGGATGACGTAAAATGGTTGCACTCCGTGAGCTACTAGCGCTATCTGTTGCTATTTTTATCACAATACGTCTCGAATTAGGCCACGTTTACACATGGCTGGGTATTTAGAGAAACGAATATTTCCCCCTCCTCCGTTTTCAATAATAACATTGTGCACACACCCGCATAAATACGCCGCGAGTGCCATCATATCTACGCCAAACCTATGGGGGGCAGTGTAGGGAGAAGGATAAAGCCATGCAAGCCAATCAGACTCCTCAGAATCGACAAGAGAGAACCTAAAACCCCGTTTCTCCCAGTTGACACGACAACACATAACCGGCGTTTTCAGAAATTTCTACTTTGGCCGGAGTTTTTAGAAATAATCGTTTTCTGTGATAAAAACGGGGTTTTCGTGTAAATGAGAGGCCAAACCGCAGGGAAATATCTGCGTTTTCCCTTCGTGTAAACGGGGCCTTAGACGGATAAAATACTGACATGACCACAGCTACTGAAAGAGCGTACAGGTGGCGATGGATATAAGTATGGGTTTAAACCAAATGCTGTACCATGAATTTTTCCCCACAAGGAGTGTAAACGCCACAGCTATCGAGGGAAATCCGCGGATAGGAACTTCTCTAGCGGCCGCGATTCATGATTAGCGTCGGCATGTTGACATCCTGACAGATAGCATCTAACGTTCCTTGTTTCAGCCGTTTGTAAGCTATTTTAGTAGCTGTGGTCTACTAAAAGACTCAAAGGCATCAAGGCTAAAGTAGAGAGAATAAAGTTTTTATAAAGTTTTTTCGTCCACAGGTATCTACACCACACTCGGCCACACTCGGCCTCTCTCGCGCGCAGACGCACTCGGCCGCACTCGGCCTCTCTCGCGCGCAGACGCACTCGGCCACACTCGGCCTCTCTCGCGCGCAGACGCACTCGGCCACTCTCTCGCGCAGACGCACTCGGCCACACTCGGCCTCTCTCTCGCGCAGACGCACTCGGCCACACTCGGCCTCTCTCTCGCGCGCGCGTAGACGCACTCGGCCACACTCGGCCTCTCTCGCGCGCGCAGACGCACTCGGCCACACTCGGCCTCTCTCGCGCGCGCAGACGCACTCGGCCTCTCTCTCTCTCGCGCGCAGACGCACTCGGCCCCTCTCTCTCGCGCGCAGACGCACTCGGCCACACTCGGCCTCTCTCTCTCGCGCGCAGACGCACTCGGCCCCTCTCTCTCGCGCGCAGACGCACTCGGCCACACTCGGCCTCTCTCTCTCGCGCGCAGACACACTCGGCCTCTCTCTCGCGCGCAGACGCACTCGGCCACACTCGGCCTCTCTCTCGCGCGCAGACTCTCTCGGCCACACTCGGCCTCTCTCTCGCGCAGACGCACTCGGCCACACTCGGCCTCTCTCTCGCGCGCGTAGACGCACTCGGCCACACTCGGCCTCTCTCTCTCGCGCGCTTAGCCACACTCGGCATCTCTCGCGCGCAGACGCACTCGGCCACACTCGGCCACACTCGGCCTCTCTCTCGCGCGCAGACGCACTCGGCCACACTCGGCCTCTCTCTCTCGCGCGCAGACGCACTCAGCCTCCCTCTCGCAGGCAGACACACTCGGCCTCTCTCTCGCGCGCAGACGCACTCAGCCTCCCTCTCGCAGGCAGACACACTCGGCCTCTCTCTCGCGCGCGTAGACGCACTCGGCCACACTCGGCCTCTCTCTCGCGCGCGTAGACGCACTCGGCCACACTCGGCCTCTCTCTCGCGCGCGTAGACGCACTCGGCCACACTCGGCCTCTCTCGCGCGCGCGTAGACGCACTCGGCCACACTCGGCCTCTCGCGCGCGCGTAGACGCACTCGGCCACACTCGGCCACACTCGGCCACACTCGGCCACACTCGGCCACACTCGGCCTCTCTCTCGCGCGCGTAGACGCACTCGGCCACTCTCTCGCGCGCGTAGACGCACTCGGCCACTCTCTCGCGCGCGTAGACGCACTCGGCCACTCTCTCGCGCGCGTAGACGCACTCGGCCACTCTCTCGCGCGCGTAGACGCACTCGGCCACTCTCTCGCGCGCGTAGACGCACTCGGCCACTCTCTCGCGCGCGTAGACGCACTCGGCCACTCTCTCGCGCGCGTAGACGCACTCGGCCACTCTCTCGCGCGCGTAGACGCACTCGGCCACTCTCTCGCGCGCGTAGACGCACTCGGCCACTCTCTCGCGCGCGTAGACGCACTCGGCCACTCTCTCGCGCGCGTAGACGCACTCGGCCACTCTCTCGCGCGCGTAGACGCACTCGGCCACTCTCTCGCGCGCGTAGACGCACTCGGCCACTCTCTCGCGCGCGTAGACGCACTCGGCCACTCTCTCGCGCGCGTAGACGCACTCGGCCACTCTCTCGCGCGCGTAGACGCACTCGGCCACTCTCTCGCGCGCGTAGACGCACTCGGCCACTCTCTCGCGCGCGTAGACGCACTCGGCCACTCTCTCGCGCGCGTAGACGCACTCGGCCACTCTCTCGCGCGCGTAGACGCACTCGGCCACTCTCTCGCGCGCGTAGACGCACTCGGCCACTCTCTCGCGCGCGTAGACGCACTCGGCCACTCTCTCGCGCGCGTAGACGCACTCGGCCACTCTCTCGCGCGCGTAGACGCACTCGGCCACTCTCTCGCGCGCGTAGACGCACTCGGCCACTCTCTCGCGCGCGTAGACGCACTCGGCCACTCTCTCGCGCGCGTAGACGCACTCGGCCACTCTCTCGCGCGCGTAGACGCACTCGGCCACTCTCTCGCGCGCGTAGACGCACTCGGCCACTCTCTCGCGCGCGTAGACGCACTCGGCCACTCTCTCGCGCGCGTAGACGCACTCGGCCACTCTCTCGCGCGCGTAGACGCACTCGGCCACACTCGGCCTCTCTCTCTCTCTCGCGCAGACGCACTCGGCCGCACTCGGCCTCTCTCTCGCGCGCGTAGACGCACTCGGCCGCACTCGGCCGCACTCGGCCGCACTCGGCCACACTCAGCCTCTCTCGCGCGCGCAGACGCACTCGGCCACACTCGGCCTCTCTCTCGCGCGCAGAAGCACTCGGCCACACTCGGCCTCTCTCTCGCGCGCAGACGCACTCGGCCTCCCTCTCGCAGGCAGACACACTCGGCCTCTCTCTCGCGCGCAGAAGCACTCGGCCACATTTGGCCTCTCTCTCTCGCGCGCAGAAGCACTCGGCCACTTTCTCGCGCGCGTAGACGCACTCGGCCGCACTCGGCCGCACTCGGCCGCACTCGGCCACACTCGGCCTCTCTCTCGCGCGCGCAGACGCACTCGGCCACACTCGGCCTCTCTCGCGCGCGCAGACGCACTCGGCCACACTCGGCCTCTCTCGCGCGCGCAGACGCACTCGGCCACACTCGGCCTCTCTCGCGCGCGCGTAGACGCACTCGGCCACACTCGGCCTCTCTCTCGCGCGCGCAGACGCACTCGGCCATACTCGGCCTCTCTCTCTCGCGCGCGTAGACGCACTCGGCCACACTCGGCCTCTCTCTCGCGCGCGTAGACGCACTCGGCCACACTGATGGGATTATGATCAGAGAAACTATGATCGCATCTCAATTTCACTCAGCAGTATCACATGATGTTCTTAAATCTTCCTGTTATGGCTCCGTGTCGTGAATTGAAAGCGCTTCAGACGATTCAGTGCGTGAGGAACTGAACAGAATATTCAAACTGATTCGTGAACCGATTTAGACAGATCTGCCAACCTGTTTGATGAAGTCTTTGAACAGAATCGACTCATTTGATTCATTTATAAATTTAGCATTGCGCATGCCCATAAAAAAGATACAGCACGCTTGGAATAAACTCATTTAACAACATGTATTGCATTAAAATAAAGTAACGAGAGGAACGTCGCCCAACCAGAGTTTCCGCTAGAAAAAAATGGTAACAGTCAAAGTGACCGGCAGAGGTTTCGTTTAACGGACATTTTGGA